CAAGCACATAGTTCAGGTTTTGAGCTATCTTCCTCTGTGATTTCTGATATGACCCCAGCACACTGGACATGAACTAATTTCTTTGTTGTGTGTATGGTATTAAAATTACACAAGAGCAGCTTTTCTTTCCAATTATCGTGGATAATCCACAGACTTAAATGAGGACATTTTTCACAGGAAATACTTTCTGGCAAAGAGACAGAAAAGCAAAGGCTGTAGATAAATAACAAAACATAGTCTAGACTTGAGTTTATAACAAAAGAAAATAGTAAAATCAACTACTGATCATTTGGATTTGCTTCTTCTATCATAATCACATAAGCTCAATGTGTCTTCATTGAGAGATAAAGATAATCAGACATACATGTAAGTACAGTTTCGTGGCATGGGTGCTTTCAACCTTTTTTTTCTTCTTTTTTTAAAACCTTCATTTGTTAAATTGAGAAAATACATTTTTAGTCATTTTTAGTTGAGGCGATTTAACAAAACGACATTTAGGTTTATAGTAGTACATTTTTGTTATGATGATATATTTTTTTTACCAGGAATATATTTTCTTTGTGGTTTTTAAAATGTATTCTGTTATTTTGAAGAATTGGAATTTTAAGGAAATTTGTTTTAACCAAAATTTCATTTTTTTCATATTTTTTTTTTAAAGATTTGGTGTCCTCGTTAAACAGGGCGTATCATATTTGCCAAACATTGCATAAATAATATAACTGCGCCTTCTATGTGTACAACATGACGATATGTCTGTAATGAAACTCCACCTTGCAAGACAAGACTGAGAGCACAACCCTCTATTAACTGTACTCTGTGATTGGACAGTATCAATACCGTCATATGCGTGGGCATATTCACGTCGCTGTTTGATGACGTACCCTTGGGTTGTAAACATGGAGGAGAGAGAAGCGTTGAAGAGGCAAATTGAACTTCTTCAGAGTAAGTCTTGCTTTGTAAATGTCGACAGTTGTATGAGCAGCCAGTGGGTTAAAAGGATGAAAATACACAGAGAGCTCCTGGTAGGATGTGCGGCCCGCGCTTTCTGATATTTAAAAACGAACTTTAACCGTCAGCTTTTCCTCCAACCAACCGTCAACGTTACTCACTTGGCTAAAAATAGACACGTCTCTGCCCTTCATAACATAGGATATTATACATGTATCCAGCTAATATACTAGTTAATAATTTCTGTTTAGAAGCACATAAGTAGTAATTTATTATAGTAACGGTTAGCTACCAGTAACAGGTTAATAGTTTTACTCGTCGGTTCTCAAGGCATACCGGTAAACGGTCAAAAAAACATAGTTTATCATATCATAACTGCTTGACTTTGATATTGTTATATCTAATATATCAGAGTGTCGATTACTATAATGTTAAATTTCCTTGCTGCACGTTGTTTATTTTGTGAAACAACCCTTTAAAATAGGTTTTATTTTCATATTATCAGTTTACAAGTGATTGACAACCAAATCACCCCATTTCTTTTTAATTTTCAGATCTCATCAATAAACACAAGAGTGTCCATGGTGATGCACCGTTTGAAAGAGCTGAGCAGAGGCATCTAGAACCTCCAACATCAGCCAGAGGCAGAGGTCATAGTGCATCTGTCATCCATCCTCACAGCTCCAGAGGGAGACTTTATGCTCCTCAGACCCGTGGAAGTTGGAGGAAAGCGTACTCTCTGAGAAACAAGAACCCTCAGTCTTCTTTTGGACATCACTCAGCTTCAGCCTTCTCTGTGGATCAGTCTAGTTCCCAGCCTATATCTCGCAGCATCTCACTGCCCAGTCACAGCAGAGGAGAGGAGAGCCATAGAACCAAAACTTCCGCTTTATCGTCAAGGATTGTTCAACAGAAGAAAGAGGAACATGTAAGCAGCATCACAGGGATTATAGAAGATGCAACAAAGAAACGCAAAAGAGGTGAAGAGGCAGCTTTGTCTCAGTGTAAAGATGGAAAAGGAAGTTCAAGCTCAACAGGCACTAGCTTGCAACATGAAACGGGACACAGACAGACTCAAGAATTTCAGCGCGAGACTGAAAGCAGGCGTGTTGTCCTTCCAGGGAAGATGGTCAGTGGTTCTTCAGAAGTGCCATCTTCACTCAAGACCAATACCTTGACCAAGCAGAGAAGCTCCGAAGTACAGATCAAACCTCCCCTGACCAGCAAAACCGAGTCTAAACTGACTCCAGCAATTCCTACGACTGGCAATACCGCATTACCCCTCTCTGCTCAGTTTAAGATAGCAAAACAACCTTCCCTTGACCTCACATCTCAGACCAGACTGGCCCAGGTCAGTACATCTTTTATGAAAAAATCCAAGTTCACTTGGGTGAAGAGCCAGAACGTGGGAGGAGTGGAGTCCAGACAAGGTAGCTCTATTTCTTCATTCACGGGAAAAGCTGTAACTGTTGCCCCAACGTCACTCTCAAAAGCTGGAGTTGCCAGTGGAAGCTCCCCCTCGCTCACAATCAGTAAGAGAACCCCTGCCAAGAAGTTACCCCGAAAGCTTAGCCCAGTCACCGTCGCCCCGAAGACCTCCAAGTACAAATGGGTCTCCTCTTCTGCTGGAGTCCAAGCCAAGGTGTCTCGTAAACCACTGTCACCCAAAGCCCTGACTCTTGCTCAGAGAGCTCTTGAAAAGGGAGAGGCCACCAAAAAACTCAGAGCACCCTCTACTCCCTCTGCTAAAATAAAAAAGGCAACCAGCCCCTCACTTAGTAGCCGTTATCGCTGGAAGGCTGGGGGACAGACTACGTCTGGAGCAGCGACAGCAGGGGCAGCAGTGGCTCGTCGTAGATCTGCCTTCCACTGGACTTCTGAAAAAAGCAACAAAGGAGTGAAAGGAGGGCTTGTTGTTTCCCCATCTCTACATCAACGTGCCTCCCTCCCATCCTCCTCCCTTGGTGGGTTCAAACTGCGCAGCAGGATGAAGATCATCAGGAAGTCTGCTAACAGGTTAATAATGGAAACATGCACATGATCTGATTGATTTTACCCTAGGTTTATTCTTATCTAATGACGTTTCTTTTCAGTTTTTTTTTGTGTACCTGTCTTTTGCCAGAAGGGGGCAGCAGATATATATATATATATATGCCCTTGTTCATGTTATACTCTTGTTTATTTATACATTAATCACATAGATTTTTCTCGACAAAATTTGATTAATAGTAACCTCTAATGTCTTACTGATCACACTGTTCTCTTTTGTCCTTTGTATTGTGACCCAGTGGGGGTGGGTCAGAGAGGGGGAGCAACCCATCAGCGGTGAAGTACTCCCCACGGGGCCGAATACTCACCTCGACCCGGACTCCTTTAGGACTCAGGAGGACATCCTCCAGGGAGCTTGTTTCTTTTGGAAGACACAAATTGAGGCGGCTCTCCCCAACCTTATCAAGGACAGGTAAGAAGCAAACACTACAGTACAAGATTGTTGTTTTTTGGTATCGTCTCATTCAGTTTCATTAAGGGCATTTATTATGTGCAGTTTTTCTGCCATGCATTTGTCATTGCCAACTAATTGCTCTAATGAGCTGCCAACCAAATGCTCATCCATGGAAAACAACATTACATGCTTAGGAGGGAACATATCTAATCTGGTTAGTTACAGTCCAACTGCAGTTTCTGTGGTCCTAATAATGGAAATGCTCAAATCATGTAGTTAATTCTGATTAATCTTTTTAATATTCCTTCTCCCCTCCCCCACTTACAAGCCTGTGAATATCATTAACCACACAGTACGACCCACAGCAGCTAAACTTTCCAGATAGGATCAAAATCTCACCCACTGACTTTTTAATGAGAACTACAATCCACAGCCTGATGGTGGTGCTGTGAAAACTTGTTTTCCAATCTCACCAACAACTTGCAGTATTCAGAAACATTACTTCCTCATACAGTCATCATGTTCTGTTGGATCTCCTCCCATTTCACCAAACTGGTCTCATAAGATTCTCTTGAATTTCAGTGGATGCATTTACTCCTAAAAGTTGTACTTTTCTTACATCATCAAAAAGCTTCAACTTATGTTTTAACTGGAGTTATTTATGTCCTTCCAAAGCTCAGCAAACCTGGTACTCGCACTCCCACTTTGGTTTGTTTGTCTTCCTTCAAAACAAAAGGAAACACAGACTTATTGATTAACAGCTTCAGAGTCCTAATACCTAAGAGCATGTCTCAGAGAGAAGTCTTCCCATCCAGTAAACTGGCCTCTATTTTCCATTTTATCTCATGGATCAGATTGTTGATTACTGTGATGTTAAATTTCCTTGCTACAAATATCTCAGTCAACTCTTTCCCCTTATATTTTTGTCCAGCCTCTGTTTCTTGTATCCATTTGTCTCCTTTGATCATAGTTGACGCAGAGGATTTCAAACATACAGTTCATGATTATTCTAACATCATGGGGATTTTGGGTCAAGCACGTCAGTCTTCTGACCGAAACTCTCGTCCTGGTCGTGTGTTCATTTCAACTTCTTGAAAATTTAACAACATTTATCAATGTTTAAATGATCACCACTGTTCCGCTGCATTTCTATTGGTTCCTTGCAACTTTAGTCCCTTTTTTTGTTGATTTTATTGCTTTTTACTCTGGTTCCATGTCTCTCTTCAGTGCTTGTGTCAGTTCTATACCAGCTGTGCTCATGTGTACTTTGACTGCTGCCAAATAAACGCTTTACTATAAAGCCTTATAGCTTATGGCTTATGACTAACTAAGACAGTTAGTTGAAATCTATATTTGAAATCATGTCAAAAGTCATATGAAATCATGTAGTAGGTTGGGGGTTTGGAATGAGATGAAACAGTTAATTGTTCTTCACTATGAGGAAAAAAAAAGATTTTAAAAATTTCTTAATGATTTAATTCTAACTTTTTTGTTTTACAAGATCCTCCTGTTTTCAGCTCCACTCACTTCAGGTTCAGTGTTTTGCAGCTGTTATTTGCTCCTACATGACCTTTGTGCATTGCATTTTAAGACAACAGTGTAAAACAATAGCACACTCAAAAATTAATGAGATTTAGTATACCGACTTCTTATAGTAGAAATTACTTTTGGACAAAGCATCTAAGTAATTGGCCCTTCAGCTACAGTAGCTTTTGCAGCCGTCTCCAGTAGAGGGCAGCAGCTCACACCCATGTCCTCCTTGTAAGGGCTTTGTGTTGCTGCCTGTCACAGGAGAGGCATACACACAGGCTATAAGAGGAGGGGGGAGGTTAATTGATTGCCCAATTCAGCCGTGATGGCGAACAAGTGCCGATAGCGGGTAATTTGCAGAGGTGGAGGCAGGCAGCGACACTGCTATCAAGCCCTGGCACCACTCTCCCTCCAGTAGATAAAAAGGAGCTAATGCATAATTATCCTTTTGCAAATTGGATTGTTTTAACGAACTGTAGAATATAGGCCTAACCTGATGGAAAGCAATCATTGTTTTTACAGTCCCCCCTCTCGCTCTCCCCCCCTCCCTCTCTCCCCCCTCCCTCCACTTCCCTCCCTCCACTTGCCCCTCCAACCCTCCGGTCATTCTGCGTGTACCCTACACGCCTCATGCCCATCTTGGTGTAATCTCCCATACTCAATGGAGTCAGAAGACATTAGAAAAGCCATCACTATTAACATTAGGCTTTATTCGTCCCCATGGCTTAGCGTCTATCAGTCTGCTTCTCTTTTTCTGATTCTCTAACTTTGTGTGTCCTTTCTTACACCTCCTACATCCTTTTCCTCTTCCCTTCCTCCTCACTATTTCTCCCTTTTTTAAAAAATGTCATTTGAAGAACCTGACTGGCCTACTGTAGGAACACATGCATCTCTAATTAAAGATGTGGATTCAGAATTAGAGACACAGGAAAGGTGGAGCAGGGGTGAGTGCAGAGGAAGATGGAGTGAGGAAAGCTGCTCATAGCCGTCTGTGCCTCTGATAAGAGCCGCTAATAAAGAGCAAATTGAATTACTAATGATGGGAAGCAGAGTCCCTATAGATGAGCCTGTTAAAAACCAACCTTATGACCACTCACACATGCATGATAATACACTCACAAACAATGTTTCTTAATTTCCTCCTCAATGACTAGCTTCAGCCTCCCATCTTCACGTTTAGGGGGCTAGCGTTTTCTGAGGTGCTCGGTTATCTGTGGATTAATTTAAAGAGGGCATAAACCTAAGTAAGCAGTTAAAGCAGTAATGAATCAAGAGGTGTGTGTATGTATATATCTATACGTGTGTGTGCTTGCATGCGCCCGGAGACAGCTATGTAGCCCAGATAATCTAATAAAGCAGATAAATGTCAGGAACGGACAGAACACAGAGAGGAAGAGTGCTGAGCCGAGCGGCTTCGGGCCCCATGTGACAGGCTTCTGGAGCGTTTTAGGTCTCTATCTCACTCTGCTTTTCTTTCCTCCCTCACCGTCTCCCATCCAGTCTCGCTCAGTCTTTTTTTTCCTCTTTGGAGCTGTCTTCACCACTCTGCTAATATTCCCTGTGACTTTATTTAAGCCCAGTGCTGTATATCACTGTGCACACTGCAGACATTTTCTGTATCATCTCATTTTAGGTCTGAACTGAAGTATAAAGTCGTGAGAACTAATCAGATTTTCTGAATTCAAATTTTCCCCCAAAAAAACATTAATAAGTAATAAATCTTGGCATTGATCATATGAATTCATTGTACCGCAGTCCGACTTAAGATAGTCAAGAACTAAGCTGCTTTGTGGAACCAGCCCCTGATTATTCTCTCAATTGTTTGGTATACAAAATCTCAGGTGGTGGAGAAATGTTTATTTTATTTCATTTTTTTTATCTCAAAGTGATGTCTTTAAATATCTGTCTTTGTTCGACAACAGTCCAAAACCCAAAGGTGCTCAGTTGACTTCCACATAAGCGAGAGAAGCAGCAAATCCTCATATTTGATGAGCTGTAATTAGGGAATGATTAGTACTGTTGCTTTGAAAAGAAAGGTCTGCCTTGGGGCTGCCCTCCCCAACGCAGGCGTGTGGAAAACATTGTATGCATTGCCCACACCAGTTATACTTCTCAGTTGGTCTCTAGCCCTGTTTATGTAAATCATAAAATCCACTCACACACACACTGGGGGTCAGATTGTTGACCTGCTTGTGTGTTGTAGTAGGACTGAGTCTCTGATGGTGGCAGTGCTGCCACCTTTGGTCTCTCAGCATCAGCTTACCGACACGCTGCCCCCCTCCACCTTCTGACACCACGGAGCCCATTACTTACTACCACAAAAGAATCCTCCCTCCCCACCCCCCACCCTCTCCTTCCCTCCTTCAGGGATCCTGTTACCGCTCCTACAGTGATCCCATTTATTTCACCCATAAATCATATGTGCTGCTCTGCATCGAGGCCCTGCTCTCACTGACATTTTCCACTTTCTCCTGTGATATGTACTGAATGTACACACTACTGTATGTACAGACACGTGCAAACACAGATGGGATGCTATTAACAAACAGCCGTTACTGTGCAGTGTAATAATTTGAGAAGCTCAGAACCATTTTCAGGTATCAGGTTCCTCATAAAGTGGTTCAGCCTGTGCACTGGTTTCTTCCGCACAGCAGCAAACGCACCTTCTGACTAATCTGTTTGTTTTAGGATTGAGTCATCGACAAAAATATAAACTTGTTTTGTTTATGATTAACGTAAAACATGTTCATAATAACATTAGTTTTTTTTTTTTATTCACCAATGTTTTTTTTTTCCTGTTCCTCTGATGCCTCCTCTCATTGTTGATACCTGTTGTCCAGTCACAAAGTTATCGTTATTTTAAGAAGCCATTTGCTTGTCGAAAATGTTGATTTACCTCTTTGAAAACTTAAAAAATTTTAAGTAACGCATTGGTTGTAGCTTCTTTAAGAAAAGATTGAAGTGATGTTCTCTCATACCTTGTTATCTAAAGGCCCACACACACCGGCTGTATCTGATGTGTGTCCACACATTACATACATCCATTATCCTCGATGTATGGTGTTATGCACCTCATTGTGGGTTTTGTGAGCAGTAACTCACGAGGATCACGTCAACACACTCGTCAGCTCCTGAGAGAAACAGCAGTTTTTCCATTGGCTGCCTGGGTTGGCACATCCTGGCTACTGCGCCTCACTTTATATGGTGCATTCATTCTGCGCTATCGCCGTCACTTAACACATCTCATTCATGAGAAAACTGGAGGATTTGCCAACAGTCTAATGGGGCTAAGCGTGTCTGTTTTCCAGTTGAGAAGTTTAAAGTTCACTATACATGTGCTAAATATTCCTTTAATAACTTCACCAGCTGGCTGTTGACTACATGCACTGGAGACTCTTAATGTTGTTTAGAGCCACTCTTGATTATTTGATTGGTTCCTGCAATACAAGGAAGATGAGCACATGACAGAAAATGAAACTTTAATTTAG